CTTCAAAAACTGCATGAAAGTGTACCTAGAAGAATTGAAGAAATTTTGGCATTTTGAAGGCAAAAGGTAAAGGATAAAAATAAACTATTAACGCTTCTATTTCTGAAAGCATTCTTTAGTTAAAGCATTTTTCAGACCCGCCTTTTGCGCAGTAATATATATATGTATGTTACTGTGCAAAAGGCAGGTCTGAAAAAATGCTGCTAGAAATAGAAGCGTTAATAGTTAATTTTTAGGCGTGTTGAAGCAAAAGTCTTAGATAGATAGATGGATAGATAGATATATGTGTGTGTACAGGTTATATTTTTTTCTCCACCTTTTCTGGATTGTTAGCTGGCGCCTGATGATAGTATATGATTGACAAAGTAGTTCTTATCTGTGGAAGACCCCTTACCCCTGCTGAGAGATGCGTTTGAATCTAGGGGAGTCCTGTAAGGAGAAATACGATGGGGTCTTGAATTAGATTTGCTGTTAGTGGAACTCCTGTAAAGGCATTTTTACTTGATTTAGATAGAGTGGGGATGGGTTAGAACTTTAGTTAGTTTTTTTTTTTATACCATAGATTTTTATTTCAACAATTCAAATAAAATTCACATGAGTACAGTAGAATGCATCACAAGATTAATATGACTCACAAGTAAACATAAACAAAAGGCAACCAATTTGTGGAGTCCCACATTCAAGGCACTGAGGTGGCAATAGGATGGTGCAATCCATTGATAATGTCAATAATAAGAAGAATATCAAGTGTTCTAGGTATAGAAAAAGGATATGTTGGGGGGGACAACAGAATTTTAGTCAGTTTTGTTATTGCGGTCTGTGCCTTTGTTGAGGAGATTGCCTGGTGCCCATTGTTACTTGCAGATATTGAGAAGAAATCTGCATTTTACAGTTGTCACCAGAACAGCAATAAAGGTGAAATCTCTTATTAGGGATGCCTGTTCCAGTGACCACGATCAAAGGTGGGCTTTCCTCACACTTTAATAGATGGTTCTCACATCTTTTGTGGCAGCAGAAAAGGAAGTGAGGGGAAATGCCCCCAGTGGATATCCAGAGAGCAATAAAAGCCTGACAATCATTCTAATCAAAATGTGTATCTGTGGCAAGGGGAACCTTGTCTCCCCTCCTCAGGCACTGTCCTGATCAGATTTCTGCATTTGCTGCCTCCATTGTTTGTATTATGCCCATGGTATAAAATGAATGTGTATATTACCTGCTAGTGCTAGCTAACATGCAAATTACAGTACTGCAGAATGTGCCTGCCCTTAAAGGATAAGTTCACCTTTGGAACATGTTACACTCGGTTTTAGGGTGGAACATGTAACCTGTTCCCATAGCCAAAGCCGTGCCCACCCTTCTTCTGACAGATAGTACAGGGTGACTTCTCCCCGTACTATCTATCAGATTTGAAAACGGTGGGGCCATGTGGGGTTCTGCCCACTCAGCCATGTCACTTATTCACAGAGTTCTGTGAATGAGTGCCTACAAGTCCTAGCAGCCTTAGTGGCTATCGGCTTGTACTTTCAATAAATTACTACGGTGCTGTGGTGCGCCGTGGTAGTCCATTGAAGCTTTCTGTCAGAATATCTGCTTGATTGTATATCCCATACGGCAAGCAGATATACTGACAGGTCTGCAGGCGACCTGCATGGCATCAGCACTCTACTGATCACTGGTGCAATGCTTTCCAGGCTGCTTTGGACAAAAAATAATAAATGCACATTTTTTTACCTGCAGAAAAATGTGCATTTATTATTTTTTGTCCAAAAGTTGAACTTATCCTTTAATTAACAAATAATGTAGACTTTCTTTTTGTTAGAAAAAAAACATTTTGCTCAAAGCAACCAGTTAGCTATCAGCTGCCATTTCTTCCACTGCAGATTTGAAAATGAAACGAAAAGTCAGTTTGCTACAAACACAAACAGTTCTTCTTGCAGGCACTGCTTTGTGAAATCTGAAGCACAAAAAAACTTGCACAGAAACCGCGCAGTTGCCCAAAGAAACAAATGAGATTCATTTTTTTTATTTGAAGTATGATTGGATGCCACGGGCGGGAGCACATCCTCATGATCAATGTTTCATAGATAAAGAACTATAAAAATTTCCACGTAGCTACATTAGAATCTGTCCAGACGGCAGCTCTGTAGATTAGCTCTGGACTTTATTCACTGTGCCTACCTCCTCCGTTCCAGGTATCCCGTACTAGGCTGTTGCGTGACAGTTTCCTTTATAGTATTTGTCTTGTCTTTCATTTTTATGATGTCTGTTCCTGTATTTAGTTAATCATTCACGTTTATTTCTTCTTTCCATTGCTTGTGAACAGTGCTATCAGTTTGGGACTTCTCTTTAAACCATGATCCCACAGGAGACCTACCTGATCTCTAATGTAATTGAGATCCACGGATCCTTCCATGGTGTTTAGCAGATATGAGACATGAGTTCTATGAATTGAGCCATAGATGAGGTTGCAGTATAGTACAGCCGCAATCCAAGCCTCAGTTACCGGGAGGTTTCTGCCTGCTTTACATAGGGAAGTGATCTTTGTTAAAACACATGCAGAGCAATGGTTAGTCTATATAATTATACGCTTTGGTTCCCAATAAAGATAGATTTTATATGTTCTACTTGTGTGGTTTCCTTACAAAGTCTGGTAAAAAGTGAACACGTTTATTGGCTACCATCTGCATTGGCTTTACAGTGTTCATATGACTGAAGTAACAACGTTGAACTATAATTCTTATGGGGTGGGAACCTGTGAATGGTTGTGTGATCTGCTAAGTGCTGCAGATTATGTTGGTGCTACAAAAAAGCATCACACTAGTTCATACAGTCCATAAAATATTTTATTCTGCAACAAAATCCAGCATTCCACCTTCATCAGGGCCAACATCAAGATAAAGAAAATAAAGATTATATAAAAATTCCTTGCAAAAACAAAAAAAAAAACCCATACAACTATATGTATATACCCAAAATCGTTCTTATTGAAGCTATAACACTAATTTAAGAAGTGTAAAATACAGTTCTGCCACATTCTACATGGTGTGATGGATACTGTCCTGGACTGTAAGTTGGAACCCGACTGGATGTATCTGTAAAGTAAAATAGATAAAAGTAGCTATATATTATACTTTCTTTTGGTTAATGTTGTTGAACTGCACTACATCTGAGCACCACAAACCAAAAATGCTGTTTAACTCATTGATAATATTCAAAGCAAACTCCCCCATCCATCCATGTCTCCATACTTTATTTTGCTAAAATCATTTTGAAAAACACACCTTGGCATTTCTGGCAGTGGCCATCTTGAGTAAGGGCAGATGATTCTTGTGGCATTTACTTCCTGAAACTATCTGCCCCTAGCTCAGGCATTGGCTGAGCTGAGATCCCTCACTCCCCTCCGGAAGACTCCTGGGATAGGTGACCACATTTGTCTAAACATGGAAACCAAGAAGTAACTGAAGAAATGTAAAAAAAAATTTTTAACCGCCTCCTGCCCGCCATATAGTACAATGACGGGTGCAAGGCGGTTCTCTCGTTCTGGGAGGACATCATATGACGTCCTCCCATTCTAACCGTGCATGCGTGGCTGCAGGAGCGCGTGGCGATCAGTGGTGCGCTGTGTCCCTCGGACACAGCGGATCACCGATCAACGGAAAGACCCGAAGAAGTCGGCTCGGTCATGTGATCAGCTGTGTCCAATCACAGCTGATGACATGTAAACAGAGAAATGCCGGTTATCTTCATGTCTTTCCTCAGGAGCTGTCACGCTGACAGCTCGTGAGGAGAGGAGAGCCGGTAATCGGCACTCCTCGGAGGGGACATGTACACAGATCATCAGGGCACTGATGATCTGTGTAGCTCCAGCAGTGCCACCTGCCAGTGTCCATCAGTGCCAACTGTCAGTGCTCATCCATGCCACCTGCCAGTGCCACATTTCAGTGCCTACCAGTGCACATCAATGCCACATATCAGTGCCCATCTGAGCTGCCTTTCAGTGTCACCCATCAGTGCCAGTCAGTACTGCCTATCAGTGCCAGTTAGTGCCGCCGATCAGTGTGCATCAGTGCCATCTATCAGTGCCCATCAGTGTTGCCTATCAGTGCCAGTCAGTGCCACCTAACAGTGCCAGTCAGTGCTGCCTATCAGTGCTGCCTTTCAGTGCCCATCAGTGATGCCTGTCAATGCCCATCAGTGCCACCTACCAGTGCCGCCTCATCACTGCCACCTATCCGTGTCCATCAGTGCACATTATCAGTGCCCATCACTACAGCCTCATTAGCGCATGTCAGTGAAGGAGAAAAATCACCTATTTACAATTTTTTAACAAAAACTAAGAAAAACTTTTTTTAAATTTTTTTTCAAAAATATCAGTGGTTTTTGGTTTGTTTAAGAAAAAATAAAAAACCCAGAGGTGATTAAATACCACCAAAATAAAGCTCTGTCACAAAAAAATTATAAAAATTTCATATGGGTACAGTGTTGCTTGACTGCGCAATTGTCATTCAAAGTGTGACAGCGCTGAAAGCTGGAAATTGTCCTGGGAAGGAAGGGGGTATAAGTGCCCTGTAGGCAAGGGGTCAAAACATGTAAATATGATATACTTTCCCAACCATTTTCCAATGCTAGCAGGATAAGGATTAAAAATAGTCTATGTTGATTGAGAGAGTGAAGTTCCACTTTAAGAAACTCATTGATTTTACAGCAGTTATACATTCCAAAGGCGGGAGGGGGGGTATATTTGTATATCTGCTGTCAATAAATGTGGCATTGGTATCCTGAAACTTGGATAAAGAATTGTCAATGTTAATGGGTTGATTTTGGGACAACTGATCTGTACATTTCCAGTCCTCTACTTGTCCTACAAACACATCTTTAGTATTTCAGAAAGAACAGGGGATTTGGGTTTTTCTGAACTGAGTGCATGCAGATTAATCAGAGGATGGCTAACAGCAGCTGATGTCAGAAGGTAACATTTTAATTTTCTGTTTTCTTTGCAGCCTGGTCAATGAGCTGGCCTTCACCGCTAGGAAAATGATGTCAGATGAAGCCTTGAACAGCGGTTTAGTCAGGTATAAATATTTATTCAATCTGACAAAAAGCAGGGTTTAAGTGATCTAAAAATGCTAAAATGTAATTTCTTTATTGCCCATTGAGGGACACAGGAAGTCTTTCATTTTCAGGTTATATTGCTGCCTACAGGACAATTTGACACTGGCATACAAAAAAAAACTGTAAGCTTAAAGTGGTAGAAGTGGTTATTCTTCACTGGCCAACATCCTAGGTGGGTAGACATATTCTCTTTAACTCTACTATATGTAAGACTAACCTATTTTTGCTAGTACCTTTTTGTTTTAATAACTGTTCTAGATTTTGCTTTGTAATTGCTAGAGCTTATCTCTTCCATTGCAGCTATCTGGTGTGGCCATCCTCAGCTTGGTTTTTGGAGTGTGTTATCTGGAATCTGCTCAACTGGACTTTTCAGGGATAGCCTGGAAGTGAACTTCAGGCACTAGATTCCACATAGGGCATTTTCTGGACTCCTTTCTAGTAAAAGGTTAACTGCAGAACGGTGGATTTTCAGATCCATAGCCACTGGCGGTGTCTCAGTGGTTCCCTTTATTTGAAGACCTACTCTGACCATAAGTGCCGTATCCAGTAGATTCTGTGTCTAATCTACCCATGGCCCTGACAGCTACTAAGCCCTCTGCCACTGAGACTCCATCTGAGTTTGAGGTGCTCCAATTTCCCCCTGAAGAGTTGGAGTCAGGGGTGGACTGACAACTCATGGGGCCCCTGTGTCCTTGCCCAAACTCAAAAAGCCTATGAAAACGGTACCAGGGGCATCTCATGGGGCCCTCTACTGACCCTGGGCCCTCGGGCAGTGCCCAAGTTTCCAAATGGTCAGTTTGCCCCTGGTTGGAGTCCACTGCTATTACTCCAAAATTAAAATAGACCATTGCAATTCTTTTTGATGCAGTACACATCTCTCGAAACTATAGAAGCAGCCTATTCCTTTTACTGGCACAGGAGACTTATTGGTTTCTGTGGACTTCTGGCCCCCGGGTTCATCCACAAACTGGACAGGTTTGTCTCTAGGTACATGGATCATCAATAGAAAGCAGTGGATGCTTTGGTGGCTCAGTGTGGTCAGTACACCCACATCTATGCCTTTCCTCCCATAATCATCCATGTCTGCTTAGCAGGCCCAGAAAGATAGGAGTTTCTCTGGGATCAGTCCTGCAGCTGGCCCTGAGCTGGCTTTAGCTCTCCGCATTATTTAAAGGTTTGGTTTCTGACCTTTCTGTCTTGTTTCAGAAATCATTTGCCTCTCATCTCTTAAGACCTTTGTTATCTATGTGCCTTCCCTTGTGACTCGTGGGATCTGAATCTGGTTCTCTCTACATTTCAGAGACCACTGTTTGAACCATAAGAGAGACTCCTTTCTCTCACTTTCAAGGTACTGTCCATTGTAGTCATCACCTCTGGAAAGCAAGTGTCTGAACTGGTGGTCTTATCTCACTAGTAATCCTTTCTGGGTTTGCACAGGGACATGATGGTGTCCAGAGCTTCCTACTTGCTAAAGGTAGTTTCAGCCAGGACATTGCTTTTTAGCCTTCTGTCTGCCTTCATTCATCAAAAGAAAGTTTCTCTCCATTGTTTGGGTGTTGTCCGGGTTGTGAGAGTCAATCTCTCAGCCACTCCTTTGTTCAGAAATGCTAATCATCTCAGTTCTCCATTTCTAGGTACATGATCCACACAGGTGAGGTGCTGCAACCTAATTTACTCTCTCCCAGGCTGTGCTATGGTGCTTCACCTTGCTAGAACGAATGTTGGCAACAAGGTGAAAAGTAAATAAATCATCTTCGTTGAAAATGTTCCATAGCACTACTCATACTAACGCGTTTCAGTCCGGAAAATACCTTATTCATAGCCTGATTACAACAAACTGAAGATGCATATATATATAGCAGACCAATCATACCACTCACCTCCTATAATTCAAATAATTGTTTCCACCTGCAAACACAGGGCAGTAGGTGGGTGGCTCATCAGCTGCCATAAGAATAGATACACCACCATAATCAATCATATAAAAATACAAATTACGAAAATACAAAGATATAAAGCGTATAAGAATAGAAGAGGGTAGAAAACACAAATCATTGATGGCAAAGATGGACCAAAAGTTAACCCAAATACAAATAGAGGTTCAAACCCAGAGGTGACCTGGTCCGCAATCAATGAATCCACCAAGCCTCTCTGCAATAATCTGTGGTGTCTATTTCTTCCTCTTTGCAATGACTCTTGACAATGATGCGCTCTATGCCACAAAATTGAAAAAATGACGTGTCCCCTTCATACAACTCTAAAATGTTGTGAAACACTTGATATTTGTTTAGATTGTGAATTCATTGAGTTGCAAAAATGTTCTCCAATACAAGTTCCTGAACATCGTATTGTACAGCCCACATACTGAAGGCGACATGCTGTAAAACTTAGGTTGAACTGCAATTAATGTAATATCTCATTTCCAAATGCTTACCTGGTCAAAGATTCAAAACTTTTTATATCGAAGTTGAGTTTACAATACCTGCATGTTTTAGTACCACAGGCGTAAGAACCAGTTCGTGATAACCAGGTGAAGATTTATTTTTTGAACTAAAAAGACTTGGGGAGAGAAGTGTACCTAATGTTGGTGCCCTGCGACTTGAACATCTGCATCCATGTTTTAAAACCACTTGCAATTCCTTGTCTGTATAGGATATGGGTAGATTATGTTTACATTTCTAGGTGGCTCAAACAGACCATCATTCAGACTTATGGTTTCAAGGATCAAGTTCCAACCTTTCCTGTTAAGGTGCTCTCTACTAGATCTGTGAGTCCTTCTTGGGCTTTTTGGCCTCGAGCAAATCTTTCCCAGATTTTCAAGGCTGCCACCTAGTCTCCTGTTCACATGTTCTCTCAAGTTCTACCAGATGGAATTACCTGATGCCAGCCTCAGACATAAGGCTCTTCAGGTGGCTCTTTGAGCTGCAGGCAGTCCCCTGTTCTTTGTTGTTTTTATTGGGCCTTTTAGTGTTTGTATGCTGTGTTGCCCACCTCTCAGTTGGACTGCTTTTGGACATCCTGTGGGTAAAAGACTTCCTGTGCCTGTCAATGGACTATATGGAAAACAGGATTTTTGTAAAAAAACACAGGTCCCACCCCTCTGTGCTTTATGATCATTCTCTGCCTGCTACATAAAACTGAGGCATGCTGGTAGCAGGAACAGTTAGTTTTTTTTTGATTTTGCAGTGTCCAATCCTGTAGGTGACCATATAACCCAAAGGTGAAAGGCTTCTTGTGTCCCTCAATGCACTCCAAGAAAAGAATTTCACCATAGTAGAAATATCCTATTTTGATTTGTCATCATGAATTAGTGTACATTGCTCTTTATTTATTTATATTTTTATTTTGTAGCAATTTTTTGAGCACAGCATTTATAATAGACTTTCGTAATGTAGACTGTTACTAGATTGTAAACTGCAAAGTGAAACAAAAAACAAGAAGCGCACCAACCTTGCGCATTACCTCAGTAACAGAATTTATTAATAGACGATAGGTACTCACAAACAGCGAATAAAATCAGGCATGTAGTCCTCAAAGGGACTTCAAAGATAAGAAGCCAGCGCGAATCCCATCATGGGGGTAGACACTCAGTTTCGAAGGCTATGCCTTCTTCCTCAGAGGAGGAAGAAGGCATAGCCTTCAAAACGCGTCAGCTCTGAGGAAGAAGGCATAGCCTTCGAAACGCGTCAGCTATACTGAGTGTCTACCCCCATGATGGGATTCGCGCTGGCTTCTTATCTTTGAAGTCCCTTTGAGGACTACATGCCTGATTTTATTCGCTGTTTGTGAGTACCTATCTTCTATTAATAAATTCTATTACTGAGGTAATGCGCAAGGTTGGTGCACTTCTTGTTTTTTTTTTCACTTTGCAGTGTCAAACGGGCTTCCCCAGCCCTGTTTAGGAGCTGCACAACCTTGAAATATACTGGTGGTCGCTTGCTCTGGTGTTGGTTCCATCTATTTGCCACCGGTCTGGGCCCTAGAGCGCAGGAGAAATCGCAACTAGATTGTAAACAACAGTCTTTCTGTAATAGATAATAAAGAATGATAAAAGGGCTGAAAGTTTTTATTTCACGCTATTTTGGGCTTCCTCCATTATCAGTAACATGACCCAAACTCTAGGTACAGTGGGGATCGAGAGTTTGGGGCACCCCAGCTAAAAATTTGTATTAATGTGCATAAAGAAGCCAAGGAAAGATAGAAAAATCTCCAAAAGGCATCAAATTACAGATTAGACATTCTTATAATATGTCAACAAAAGTTAGATTTTATTTCCATCATTTACACTTTCAAAATAACAGAAAACAAAAAAATGGCGTCTGCAAAAGTTTGGGCACCCTGCAGAGTTAATATCTTGTACTGCCCCCTTTGGCAAGTATCACAGCTTGTAAACGCTTTTTGTAGCCAGCCAAGAGTCTTTCAATTCTTGTTTGAGGTATCTTTCCCATTCTTCCTTACAAAAGTCTTCCAGTTCTTTGAGATTTCTGGGCTGTCTGTCACGCACTGCTCTTTTAAGGTCTATCCATAGATTTTCAATTATGTTGAGGTCAGGAGATTGTGAAGGCCATGACAAAACCTTCAGTTTACGCCTCTTGATGTAATCCCCCGTGGATTTTGAGGTGTGTTTAGGATCATTATCCATTTGTAGAAGCCATCCTTTCTTTAACTTCAGCTTTTTCACAGATGGCATCAAGTTACCATCCAAATTTTGCTGAAATTTTATTGAATCCATTTTTCCTTCTACTCGTGAGATGTTCCCTGTGCCACTGGCTGCAACACAACCCCAAAGCATGATTGATCCAACCCCATGCTTAACAGTTGGACAGAGGTTCTTTTCATTAAATTCTGTGCCCCTTCTTCTCCAAATGTACCTTTGCTCATTCCGGCCAAAAAGTTCAATTTTAACCTCATCGGTCCACAGAACTTGTTTCCAAAATGCATCAGGCTTGTCTATATGTTCATTTGCAAAGTTCAAACGATGATTTTTGTGGTGAGGACGTTGAAGAGGTTATCTTCTGATGACTCTTCCTTGAAGACCATATTTGTACAAGTATCTCTTTATAGTGGAATAGTGTACCACAACTCCAGTGTCTGCCAGATCTTTCTGGAGGGATCGTGCAGTCAAACGTGGGTTTTGAATTGTTTTTCTCTCACAATCCTGCGAGCTGTTCTGTTTGATATTTTTCTTGGTCTTCCAGATCTTGCTTTAACTTCCACTGTTTCTGATGACTGCCATTTCTTAATTACATTCCGAACAGAGGATATTGACATCTGAAAACGCTTTGCTATCTTCTTATAGCCTTCTCCAGCTTTGTGAGCATCAACTATTTTCAGTTTCAGTTTTCTAGACAACTGCTTAGAAGAACCCATGGTGCTGATTGTTGGGGCAAGGTCAGATGAGTCTGGGCATTTAAAACCTTTGAGATTGACATCACCTGGTCTTCCCAGACGATGACAGAACAATCCATGACACTGGCAGGTCTCAGCTTGGCAAAGGGGGCAGTGCATGCTATAAATTCTGCAGGGTGCCCAAACTTTTGCAGACGCCATTTTTATGTTTTCTGTTATTTTGAAAGTGTAAATGATGGAAATAAAATCTAACTTTTGTTGACATATTATAAGAATGTCTGATCTGTAATTTGATGCCTTCAACAAAATTCACAATCCTAGGGTTTTTGGAGATTTTTCCATCTTTCCTTGGCTTCTTTATGCACATTAATACAAATTTTTAGCTGGGGTGCCCAAACTTTCGATCCCCACTGTAACTGGTCAGGTTCAGTTCAGTATGGAGAATTCTATCCTTCCTTCAGCAGAATTCACAATGCCTAGGGTTTAATTAACTGGTATAGGTGCAATCCTTGTACAGCATTTTATTTAGGAAAGTTACAGAGTAATTCCACTTTTGTTGAGGAAAAAACAATCCCCTCTGGGTGTACTATGTACATTGCAAGGGTTTTAACAAACTCTATTGCAGATTTCTACCTGTTTTTGGTAGCAGAAAAGCTGTTGGTTTGGTTTTGCCAATGTGCAATGTGAATCTGAATGGGAGTTTCATTGTCAATCAGCAAATGCATTTGCAGTGTTAAATGAGGAAAATTGTAGGGTCTGGATTCCTTTAGAAGCGATTGGTCCTTTATTAGTATGTCAGCAAAAATAAAATGTTTGCTGCAGATGATGCCTAAAATCTGACTCGTATCTTAGTGCAGATTTCTGGGAAAGCCTGTGAGTGAATCATACAAGCAGGAAATTATATTTCTGAGGGCATCCCATACAACAACTGTGCACAACGCCTCCATGTCACTATGTTGCATTGAATTTTACAGAAAATTACAGCGGCTGCACATTAAAAGGAAATTTCATTTTTAATAACATTCAATTAAAATTATGGCTTGTGTAGCAATTGTACATGCTATATATATTTTTTTTTTTATTTGCTATTTTTTCCAGGAAAGTGGAGTTACCCTTTAAGCTTTGCAGTCCTTTTTTTACTCTCTAAGTAGGTGGTTGGAAATATCTGTGTAGATCAGGTCAGTGGCTCAGAAAGTATCAAAACTACAACCAGCCAAACAACTAGAATTTTCAGAAGTCATTGATGGCATCCTCCATACTACTTTCGGTAAAGGTCTTCTATAACACTTTCTTAATTTGGAGGGTCATGGTTGGAAAGAATGTTTTACCCTCAGAGGAAGTCAGAATGACGAAACGCGTTAGAGAAGTGACCATCCGTGACGTCAGCACGCATGCCAGGACCACGTGGTGAGAGCATGTGACTGCTGTTGCGAGATTACACAGTAATCAGTGTGCGGCGAGACTGTCACTAGCCGCAGTGAGCAGCGGCCATTCTATTGGAAGGTTACCTACAATGTGCATTACCTTTTTACTCAATGTGAGTGTTTTTCTAAAGGGTTTTTTTTTAAGCAAAAAATGTGTTTTATGGTATCACACTATGTGGCTGTTTTATTTTGCCCATATATGGAATTGATATCATCCAACCTGGATGAGGAGATCGGAGTATGAGAAATTTAATAATCCATTGATTGGAGGTTCTTTTGGGCTGCTGGCTGATTATCCAATTCGAAGTTTCACAACCATTCACTATTAAGGAGATTGATTTTCCACTGCTGGTTATTTACCAGCTTCTGGTGAGTGTTGAATTCAATGGGGTGTTAATCACTGCAGGATCACATTGATGGTGGATCATCCTACCTTAAAGAGATATTGCACCACTGAAATACTGAAATGAATTGAACTTTTCACATTTTTTACTTTGGTGGAAGTTCCTTTTTTTTTTTCTTTTCTTTTTTTTTTCTTTTCTTTTTTTTTTCTTTTACATTGATTGGCTATGGACTTATGCTAGATTTTTATGTTCGGACATAGCGCTGTTTATGTGAATCTTTCTAGTCACTGTTTATTAAAATATTGCTTTACTTAAGGGCAGCCAGTGAAGCTCTATAGAGCTGCATTTGGCCCCTAGTCCACAAGTTGATTATCACCACCACTGATTTTGCTCTCCTCCTTCCTTCTCCTCAAGTCGTGTGTTTCCAGATAAATCTTCCCTCTTACTTGCCTCACTTGACCTGGCCACTGAGATTGCCAGCAGGAGCCCCGTGGCCGTTCAGGGAACCAAAATCAACCTCATATATTCTCGAGACCACTCAGTGCAGGAGAGTCTGGATTACATGGTGAGTACTCATTTCTGGACAAAGTTCCCTAGGACCATTCTTTTATCAGACCACTGATGCCACTTTGTTCTCTCTATCATAGGCTAACTGGAACATGAGTATGCTGCAGACTGAGGACATCATGAAGTCTGCACAGGCCGTCTTACAAAAGAAGAGCCCAAAAGATGTTACTTTTTCCAAACTGTAATAGTAGCCTTGTACTGCCAGTATCAGATGGGGCAGTTAACACTTGAACCGACTAAAACTGTAATAATTGTCTCTGATAGATCCATATGATTAGAGCTGCAGTCAGACAAGATAATGATCAAGTGTATCTGCACATAAAAACATGCTGGAAGCCTAATGCTAACCATACACTAGCTGAAAAATTGTTCAAACTCCTTTCCGAATAACGAACACTTACAGCAAACGATAGTGCCATCCTGTAGTGACCGAATTTCGATCAGTAAATCGCTCCCTGGACATAAATGAATCCGTTTTTTATTTGTTTTGTTACACATGCGCAGTACGAACAGTTTGATTTTTACCGGGCGAGAAACACATTACCTTTCAATTTAGCGTTTGTTTGGCAGAAGTTTTGCAACCTGTTCCTTCAGTCAAATAGAAAATGATTTTCTATTTGTGCCTATTAACTGGATGAAAAACAAAGAAATGGTCCAAATGGTGGATTTTTGAGCAATTTTTCGTCTCGCCTATGGGGACCATACATTTAATTAATAAGTCCTTTCAAAAAGCACCTGGAGAGACAGTTAATTAAAAAAAAATAACATGAGCTAAGCTATCAATGTTTTCCTTAGAAGATAATCAACTTTCTTCTCTTGCAGATGAGAAGTATTATGAGTGGTTAATGTGAGCAACAGACACTTTCTTCCCTTCAGTCTTCAAAAATGTCTTCCACCTTTTCTATTCAAAACTGAGTGTAGTCATTCAGTGGTGAGCCATCTGTTCCTTTTCCATTCTATGGAAGGGTCTGGTGGTGTTGGAATGAACAATAGGCCCTTTGGACAGGCATCTTAATTCTTGAGGTTCAATGTTGTGTAATGGACTGAATGTATTTTCTTGTTATGAATAACAGAACTTTTATTCCGCATGATAGGTTTCAATTAATACGTACTTTTGAAAGGTTTCTTGAAAATTTTGATACAAATTCTGCTGATTTTATTGCCACTGGTTATTAAAAGTTCAGTGTGTACGATGTCTGTTCAAATCTTTTTTTCTTAACTCAGATTGCTCACATTGGACAAGTCTACTGCCTATTGCAGAAAGAAGATTAAATGAAACAAAAGGTTGTATGGTTGGTGTCATATTTATAGAGATGTGCATTTAGAGGGATATGAATGGAGGCATTGATTCAAAATAAATATGTTACCTCTATCATTTTCATCTGCAACAGCCATTCTTGACAAGAGGTGTTTAAATACAAGGGTTCCTCCAGAGGTTGCAGGTGTTCCTTCAGCTATGGCTGCTTGACCTCCCATCTGATGGTGCTTGCATAGTTCTGTGTCCAGTGCCACATGGATGAGACAATGGCATGACACCAAATACCTTTTTAGCTGTGTATTCTTGTGGTATAGGAGTGCCGAACTTTGGGGTGGTTTGTTGTGATGTTGTGTGGTAAGTGGTTCTGGAGACTACTCACCAACAACCATGGCATCCTGCCACCAGACCCTTGGAGGAGCTTGCTTAAAAAAAAAAAAATGAAAAGATAGAAGCATCACACTAGTTCATACAGTCTATAAAAGATTTTATTCTGCAACAAAAGCCAGCATTCCCCCTTCATCAGGGTGAACATAAAGATGAAGAAAAGAAAGATTATATAAAAATTCCTTGAACGTGTTAAAAAACAAAACCATACAACTATATGTATGTACCCCAAAGTATTCTTATTGAAGCTATAACACTAATTTAAGGAGTGTAAAATACAGTTCTGCCACATTATACATGGTGTGATGGATACTGTCCTGACTGGAAGTTGGACCCCAAGTGGATGTATCTGTAAAGTAAAATCACTAAGAGTAGCTATATATTATACTTTCTTTTGGTTAAAGTGGAACTGCACTACATCTGAGCACCACAAACCAAAAATGCTATTTAATTCATTGATAATATTCAAAGCAAAATTGCCCATCCATCCATGTCTCCATACTTTATTTTGCTGAGAAATCATTTTGAAAAACACCCCCTGATATTTCTGGCAGTGGCCATCTTGAGTAAGGGCAGATGATGAATGTAGCATTTACTTCCTGGAATCCATATGCCCTTAGCTTAGGCATTGGCTGAGCTGAGAACCCTCCCTCCCCTCCTGAAGACTGTTGGGATGTGTGACATCATTTGCCTAGGATTTGGGAACCAGGAAGTAGCTGAAGAAATGTTAAAAAAGTTTAAAACCAGTAAATCTTATATACTTTCCCACCTATTTACCAATGCTTGCAGCATTAGGATTAAAAATAGTCCATGTTGATTGAGAGAATGAAGTTCCGCTTTAACAAGGTTATTTTGAATGGTGAGGCAAAGCGTTGGAATGGAAAAAAATCCCACACAGAGCAACAAGATCACAGTGTCTATGGGAGTTACAGTTTATAGCGGTGTGAAAGGGGGCCATTCTTCCCACTGGCAATCAATGTAAGGAGCACGCTTTCCACTTATCACCAATGTAAAGAACATTCTTCCCATTTATCACCAATATAAAGAACATTCTTCCCACTGGCCACCAATGTAAGGGACATTCTTCCGACTATTATTGTAAGGGACATTCTTCCTACTGACCACCAGTGTAAGGGGCATTCTTCCCACTGACCACCAATCTAAGGAGCATTCTTCCACCTTAGCACCAATGTAAGGAGCATTCTTCCCACTGACCACCAATCTAAGGAGCATTCTTCCCACTGACTACCAATGTAAAGGGGATTCTTCCCATTGGCCACCAATGTAAGGGTCATACTTCCTATTGACCACCCTAGTAAGGAGCATTCTTCCGACTGACCACCAATCTAAGGTGTATTCTTCCTACTAACCACAAATCTAAGGAGCATTCTTCCCACTGACCAACAATAAAAGTGGCATTCTTCCCACTGACCATCAATGTAAGGAACATTCTTCCCATATGTCAGGAGAATTCTTCCCACTGACTACCAATTTAAGGAACATTCTTCCCACTGACCAACAATGTAAGGTGCATCCTTTTCACTGACTAATTTAAGGATCATTCTTCCCACTAGCTACCAATGTAAGGATCATTCTCCCTGACCACCAGTGTACGGGGCATTTTTCCCATAGACCTACAATGAAGTGGTTTTAGCAGGGGTTCCACTAGACCTGAAAATTATTTCATGGGTCTCTTTGGGGTAACCTGGTCGAGAAAGGCTGATCTTTAGGACGAGATTACCAAATCATAATGCATGTGTTGTTCTCAATGACGATTATTAGTCATGGAAAACACTGATGGTTATTTTCAGCTCTCATTGCTGAAAATGTTTTTTTGGCAAGTAACAATCCTTATAGTTTAGTGAATCAAGCCTAATCCGTTCATTCTTTGTGTATCAATGTTGTGTGTTAGTATAGGCTATACATGTTTGCAGGGTTAGTGGCTTATATTAACCACTTCCAGACCGGACACTTTTACCCCCTTCCTGTCCAGGGCAATTTTCAGCTTTCAGCGCTATCACACTTTGAATGACAATTGCGCGGTCATGCAACACTGTACCCAAATGAATTTACCATTTTTTTTTGAGACAGATAAAGCTTTATTTTGGTGGTATTTATGCACCGCTGGGATTTTTATTTTTTTTGCTATGTAAATGAAATGTCCAAAAAATTTTTTAAAGTGTTTTTTTTTTATAAAATTTTGCAAATAAATAATATTTCATCATAAATCTTTGCCAAAATTTATTCCGTTATCTTTTTAGTAAAAAAAAATCTAAATTAGTTTATAACCAAAAATTATAATTTTTAAACTTTTTTTTACATTTTTTAAAAAAAAATTTATATATATTTTTTTTTTTTTTTTTTTTTTCATACTGTCACCCTAGCAGTACAGTGTCACCATATGATGAAGATTTTTTTTTTTTTTACACTGATTGCTTTTACATCCATTTAGGATGTAAAAGCAATCATTTCTCTTTCTCTCTGTCTGCATTCTTGCACTCATTGAAAAGTGAGCTGTGATTGGTCACAGCTTGTCACATGGTACAAGGCTGTTGTGAATAGCCTTGTACCATGTGACTTCTGTGATCATTCACAGATTTCACACGTAGTAAGCAATGATGTCACAAGTGACATCTTGCTTACTACTTTTCATGTGATCACTGATTGGCCAATCAGTGATCACATGATCGGGACCTTGTACAGAGGTCCCGTCCGACGATCGGTGTTTCACTGTGGCCGGAGGGCACAGCGGGCACCGGATCGCGGTGCTGCGCGCTCCCAAGGAGCGTGCACAAGCAGGTTGCGGGGAGGCCATTTATAAACGGCCACCCCGACCTGCACTGCCACCATCCAGCCGTTTATATGCAACGGCCGGTCGGGAAGTGGTTAAATGGCCATGGAGGAAAGGAGAGGTGGTCATAGCTGACCTCAAAATGCAAACTGGCTGGCTGGCAAACTGATCCACTGACTTCAGTACTTTGAGGTAGTGACATAGAACAGTAATAAAGACAAGTGCTTTTGATTATTCCAGGTAAGTGACTCAACAACGATGGAATTCAGTGGCCAAGCAACTAGCATTTCGGGAGAAGGACAGCAGTGCAGCCACCTTGATGGGTTTACTTTGAATACCAATGCTGTGGGCTGTTCTAGCCTAGTATTTCATGGTACTGAGGCAACATCTTGGTATCTTGTAGGGAATTATACAAGAGTGATTTAGCTGACCCATATCTGTAATACCTTAAATGACCCTGTGCTTTGCCTATTCACTGTAAAGCAGGTTTGTTTTGAAACCAACGCCTGTAGCCCTTTATACATACATTCCATTCACACCCTCACCACTGCATTTGCTGCCAGGAGCGATGAGAGGACGCTCTATGTATGACCTTAGTTAATCCTGCTCGGAGCTTACACAGGGCTCCCTGAACCCATGTAAAAGTGCTGTGTGTCTGATCAGCCCATAACCGGCACCACTGCTGTCATATTGGTGGAACAGGTATCGGTCGCACACTCCCCTGTGCAGCCGATGCCAGGTATTTCTCTTCA